AATTCACAAACGTATAAACGACTTTTACGTGGCGATACCAAAGTGTGATCGAGAAACGCGCGCCTTCCGATTATTTATTTAATATTAATTTTTTATTTATCGTATCATACGAAAAATATCCACGACGTTTATCATCCGTATCCTATGTGTAAATATACGACGATATCCCAGTGTCTACATGTCTGTGAACATCATAATTCATCCCGGTTATTATGTTACTACTTCACAATGATAGAAAACAAAAAAATAATTCTACGCAGCAGAAATAATATGAGAAAATAAAAATAAAAAAACTTCGTTTGCATTCCAAAACATCTCTTTTCCTCCTATCGATCTATTCTATAGTTTTTGAACTTCTAGTCAATATGTATCAATTTTCAGTTGCTTGCGCGCGTTTACACTAAATCAAAAAAAATTGAAAACTGAGTTTAATGTTGTTAATCGTGTTGTTGTACAGTCAGATGAGAAAACTCTATAAAGTTGCATGTATTTCTTCTTCTTCTCGCGAACAGTACTTTTTTTCTTATCTCCAAACAGTGTTTTTTTTTTGCTTTTTTTATTTGATCAATTTTTTAGATGATAACCTGTCTTAGCTTGAAAGGCAGAATTAGTTATTGGAATTGTAGGTAACGGAGTATGAGAAAAGAAACGTTGTAGAGAAACGCCGTAAATAACACTTATTGATGCCACTAATTTGATAGAAAATGGAAGTTTCCTTCAACTGAATAAAAAACAAGAGAAAAAATTATTGGACTTCTATGGGTTTTCGTGAATATCCAGTTCGCTTTTAGCATGTAGATCGTTTTTTTACCAAGCATTCATTTTTTTTTTTTTTGTTAATTTATATACCATCAGACATCTTTTCTCCTTCTTGCATTTTTATTGCGGGCCAAAGATTTGTATTCGTAGCTCATTGCTTTAATGTTTTAAAATGCTCTAGTCAAATTTGAGTTTTTCGTTTCTTTTATGAAATTGTCATTTTCACTTCTTTGTATGTCTCTTTATGTATTTATCTGTAATTTATTTCTCTCTTTCTCTCTATTTAAATTCGTTTGAATTCTGTCGCATTCTGCAAGACAGAAAAAAACCGATATTTTTTCAGTGACAAAAATTAAAGAAAAACGTTATGTTATATAGACAAAAGCATTAATCAGCTTTGATATTATTGACTGAATCAAATTTACTGAACATTGTGACATGGCTAAGTGATCTGTGCCATAAGTGAGATTAAAAATGGATACTGTGAGTAATAAGAAAAAGTAAGTATGCTATTATGACCATAATGCTTATTTCATAAGTGCATTTTATTGGTATTATCAGACAGATAATAATAACATGAAAAACATTAAGGACATTAACATGTGATTATTTTGCACACTTCAGCTATTGTTCAATTTTTTTTCCGAACTTTTCATATCATGACGCTGACCTTCGAAAAGAACCGTCGTTCGCCTAGTATGACGGAGTCTTGGCATTATTCGACTATCACTAACGATGATATCATTTTCTTTAAAATAGAAAGTTAAAAGCGTAAACTAAACTATCATATCCACCACAATTCATCTCCATTTTTCACAAAGATTTTCAAATGTCCTAAAAAAACAAGACTTTTAACACATCTGTGATTTTCAAAGAGAAACCTCTGCTCTTATGATATATAAGTCTACTAGAGATGATTTTCGGTTCCAGAATAATGAGTATTTTAATGCAAACTAATTTCGATAAAACTGTAGATCTCAGCATGAAAGAAGCCAATTTTCTGAAACGTCTGACACACAAAAAGAATGTAGAAGGATAGAATCGATAGAGAATGCAATTGATTCTGTGTATCTAGTTTGATTTGCATACATTAATCCAATGTTTACCTCTTTTATCACCACCACTTCTGAGACTTTGATACTGTACTGAATTCGCAGTTTCGGTTAGTTTTGTGCAAGTTTGGTGGTGATTTCATCTTATATTGTTTTAAATTGAACATGTTGGAGCACATTTCACAACTTATTGTTATCAAACTTCAGCCATCGTACAAATGTTTGACAACAGTTGTACATAAAAATTTTACAAACAAAATATATAAATATATCGGTTCAATAATTGTAAGGGTATTTTATATCAGATAAAAGAAATAAAGAAAAGCGTGATGATAGATAGAACACAACTACTTTTTTCTAATACAATGGGATGACAATAATATAAAAAAATGAACTAGGATGAATTAGTATTATTCGCAGTAAGAAAAACTGTACAAAGGAAACTGATTACAAGTTTTTCTCAGCGTTTCAAGTATTGTGTCTGATCGGGAACTCCACACTTACCATTGGAATTTTAAACGATGATATAGTAAAAGTTGATGGTTTTCAGTTCGTGATTCTTGATGAAATAGACTCTTTCCAATCAAGACCTTATTAACAAAGACGTCACTAGTTCTTCTCATGTGGTATACGTTGCTTTAATATCGATGTTATACTTGGACGATGTTCTTTGACAGCTGGTAATACTAATGGTGAAAAGAATAAAACAGAATTATTGTAAACTTATATCAATTACTGCTTTTTTTACTTCTTACGTTTATGCTGGTCATTTGATATTTGTGATGCAAGCCCTGGAGCAACTGACTTTTCAGTATTAAATAACGAATAATCATTTGAGAGACCAAATAGAGCTTGTTGTGATTTTTTTGTCTTAACAAAATTCACATTCTTACCACCTCCATAAGTTAATTGAGCTAGTGGTGAACGTGATTTTAACGGATCCTGATGTTTTAAAAACTTTACTCTGTACTTTTTATTATTTTCCAATATCAGACGATTTTTCTTCGAAAGATCGAACAGTGATTGTTGGATTTCTTCATCTTTATTATCATAATCTGTGTTTTTATCTACACTAGGTTCTTGCTGTTCTTCAACTGTACACAAGAGTTGAAATGGATAATCCTTCTAAAGTATAATATTTAGTATATATAAAATAGTAATATTTTATCTGTTTAGATGTATTATTGTAGACAAGACTGCTCTATTTTTTCCAAGTTCTATTGTATTGAACAACAATATATATACTAATTTCGCTATTTGTATTAATCCCAATTTAAAACTCGTGTTCGGAGAAATAACCATCTTTTTAATTTAAACAAGTCGCATCTTCCTTACTCTCGCGGATAAAAAAAAAGTAATAGTAAGTAATGGATGTTGTATCCTATGGAAATAAAACTTTGAACAATCTTTCTTCAATGAATTACCACTGGTTTTTCAACAAAATATTTTTGTACACTTTGATCATTATTTAACTGCTGAAGTGTGGACATTGCCGTTGAACGAAGTGATATTGCTCTGTCTTCATTTAATTTAGAGCATTTAAACAGCAAATGTGTCTAAATAGAACGACATCAAAATACCGTGAAATGTCAAAGTTAACTCACGTACTTGCAGATGATTTATTAGATAGGTGTTCGTTAACTGTAAATATTTTTGACCTTTGTCAATATAGGAATGATTGACATCGTCGGATCCATGCTGTGCTAGTTGACCGCGTCCGAATGTTTGACAAGAGTTCTACATAAAAATTTTATATAAATATGTCAGTTCAATAATTGTAATGGTGTTTTATATCAGATAAAAGAAACAAAGAAAAGCGTGATGATAAATAGAATGCAACTGATTTCCTAGAGTACAAGTCACAAGTAACACCGATAAGATTACAAAATAGAATCTTTTTGTAAGCTATAAGAAGACCATTATTTTCAACTTTCGATGTGTGTAGGTTTAGCAAGTTATTTTAAGCAGTAATAGCATCAAGATTTTTCCTCACGAGGGAACATTCCCAGCTGTCCAGTCCCGATTTCTTTCAAACATACATCAATCGATAGCTTATATTGAGATAGTAAAAAGGCTAAAAAGGATTTATTCCCATGGTTCTTGAAGACCGAGTTTCCCAGAAACTCTAAAAATTTAACCAAAGCGTTTCTTAATAAGGCATGATTGTAGCCCGGAAATTTCTGATTAAAATGAGTTTCCCAACTTTACACGGCCTTTCTTTGCAAAGTTATAGAATTTACAAGAAAAGTCCTAAATTAATTTCTTCTTATTTCTGTAGCTTTGAGCTGACAATAAACATTTTGGGCTTTTCTTGTAAATTCTATAACTTTGCAAAGAAAGGTCGTGTAAAGTTGGGAAACTCATTTTAATCAAAAATTTTCCGGGCTACAATCATGCATTATTAAGAAACGCTTTAGTTAAACTTTTAGAGTTTCTGGAAAACTCGGTCTTCAAGAACCATGGGAATAAATCCTTTTTACTATCTCAATATAGGCTATCGATTGATGTATGTTTGAAAGAAATCGGGGTTGGACAGTTGGGAATGCTCCCTCGTCAGCATAAACGAAAGTTTTTTAACATTACACTACACATTTAACAGATATGCGACATAACAAAAAACCAAGTGCTGTCGTGGTTCATGTGCCTGAAAAGTCGACAAAATCCATGAAATGATTCATTGAGGACAAAAACCATGCAATCTTTCATATTTGTCATTGCTTTCAAACAAAAATCACAAAGTTGCTTATTCATATTGTGATCACTGAGTTCAGATAAATTTGATTTTCGGTGCAAATTCAACAATGCTTCATCGAACACAAACGTTCGTATGGAGAGTCATTATAGATTGAAATCAGGCCATATATGTCCAAAATATAAAATTATGGGGATTAAACAAATAAAAGCCGGACAGTATAAACAGAGGGTTAAACTATTTTAAATGCATATTAAATGAATCGGATATTCTACAATAAATTGCTTTATGATCCAGTTCGTCTATTTCAGTGAACGGTAAGAAGCTATAAAAGGAAGTTCACTTCACAAACAACGATTGACTGAGGAGTACTAAACAATCGAATTAAATAAAAAAAAAAGAACCTTATCCTTTGAAGGATTTAAATATAATGTTATTCTACTAGGTCTGTTTTTGAACATTAGTCCTTCTGAAAAGATAATTGACTTTTTATGCATTTTCAATAGAGAAGAGAAGCAAAGAAGAAATACAAATTGGTCACTTTTGTCTTCGACTGTACAGTATATTGTGTAGAAATTAAATTTACTGTCGTATAAAAAAGTTTCAGAATAATACTTACGTAACTTTAAATCTTCAATTGTCGTTAACCGACGTGTTTCATCTGTTTTTGGAAAAACGAAATCTTGTGCTATTTGTGGTCCCCAAATGCCGGTTAACTTTTTCAAAATTGCTTGACGCTCTTTGGATAGTTCTTTCTGAAATATATAAAGAATGAAGGATGGAAGACACAGATAAGGAATTTAAGCTTACTTCAGTTGTCTCAATCTTATTAACACGAATAGACATTGTTCTAAATCAATCAAAAATTCTTTCTTACTACAACTACATCCACAATCTAAAACCCAACTAGCCATATACTTTACACTGTTTGATTGATACGAGCTGTTGATTTATGAGCAACTGAGGATTTTGACGAGATTTCTAGAAAACCGCCACAAGAAAAACTACCTGGCCAAAGTCAATACCGTGCGCGTTTTGTAGCACTAGTCGAGTGGTGTGCGGGCTAACAAGATCTTGAAGAACTGATGTGTAGTTGTAGAGGGAGGAGCCCAAGCCGGGCCAAAGTACGTCTCCAGGCTACGCTTACCATGAAGAAGTAAAAAGTGCT